TGGTCTGGTTTTAACAAATTCCCTTAATTTCTGCTTATCTGGAAATGTCCTGATTTCACCATCATATTTGAGGGACAATTTTGCTGGGTACATAATTCTTGGTTGGAAATTTTTCTCTTTCAGTGTTTCATATATACCATCCCACTGTCTTGTCGCCTGCATGGTTTCTGTTTCAGAAATCCGAGCTTAGTCTTATTGGTTGCCCCTTGTAAGTAACTTTTAGTTTTTCCCATGCTGCTCTCATGATTCTTTCTTTGTCTTTGTGTGGTGTAGTAAATTACTTAGTGTGGCTTTTCTACCCGTAAGTCTTTGTAAACTCAAAGATGGGATTGTCTATGAGCAACTGAGGAGCTCCTGATTGTAAATGTTATCCACGTGGAGTATTTTTGTTGGGAGTGGCACAAAACAATGTTCTGGGAGGTTCCCACTCTCTCTCTGTTGCTTAGAGTTCTGATGCTATGATTGGCTAGTTTGGCCACTCTGCCAGCCTCAAAAGGAAGCCTCCTAGAGGCAGAACTCTCTCTGACTGCTGGTTGAGGAAGACGTGCTGCTGAAAGAGACACACGCTCCTGAGACACGCGTTGCTGAGAAAGAGACGCAAGAGACATGCATTACTGAGTGAGACACCGAGGGACCAGCACTGCTGGGAAAGAGACTGTGAGAGACTGTTGGCTGAGGGATGGTGGGCTGGGAGAGAGACTGAGCATTTTTCCTGAACTTGAATTGTAGCCTGTGGTGCTTCCCTAATAAACCCCATAATCTGTGGGCTCTGTGTGGCCACTGCAGTGAATTATCGAACCCAGGAGAGAGGTGGTGGGTGCTTTGGGAGGAAAGGCTGGAGGGAGGCAACATGTCTGGCCTTGTAGGAATAGGCCTCGGGTTACTTCTAGTAATCCTGTCTTCCTCTTGTAGGGTTAGAGGAGGTCAGAAGATGTGGCCTGCTTGCCGTTTTTGCACTTTGGTTTTGGTGAGTTTGATGATGACATGTCTTGGTGTTTTTCTTTTGGGGTCTATCCTGTTTGGGGTTCGTTGGACTTCCTGAATGGATATATTCTCATCTTTCATCATAACAGGGAAGTTCTCCTCCAACAAATCTTGGACATTTTTCTCAGTGGTTTCATTTTTCTCTTCTTGTTCTGGAATTCCAATGACACTTAGGTTATTTCTTTTGATGGTATTACACATGAACCTTAGGCTTTCTTTCTTTTTTTTTTTT